GTCTGGAGGAAAGAGACTTCCTGGTCTTCCCCCAACAGAAGACGGCAAACAGAACTATAAAAAGTTCCTGTCTATTTGGATCAGTAGCTGCATGCTACAATTATCCAGGGAGCTTGAAAATTTTAAGACAGCTGGCTTCACATCATATCGATTAAATCAATCTTTGGAGGTATTTTTCTTTTTAAAAAAGCTTCCCAGATGATTCTAGGGTACAGCTAGCATTGGGACCACGATCTAGACAACAGAAACATGGTTCCTTATGAGAACAGGTCATAAGACTATGGACTACTTAATAAGAATGCTGTAAATTTACACAGGCTAGATGATAATGTCCATAAAGTCAACCAAATCACATACAGAAGCACCCTTACTTGCAATCAGAGATAGAGGGAATTGGAAGGAATCTTTCACATCAGCTGACCCCATATTTTGATTACACACCTGTCAGCGAAATATGTAAAGCACTGATACTGTTATAATTTAATCTAGTTATGAATAATTGGAAAGGAGCAAAGGGAAGGCCAAATTTTACAAGCATGCCATTTGTGCAGCTTTGCCGGGAAGCTGAAGTTTAACACTCCCCAGGACGCCACCGGTCTGTCCCCTGCAGGCCCAGTAAAGTATGCCTGACATAGGGAAGGTACTTGCCTGTCAGACACACCTGGGAACGGGCCATTGGCCAGAGTAGGCGTGGCCACTGCAAGCCTGGGAAGATTCTATATTTATCCTCCTAAACAAAGGAGTTTGCCTTCTTGATTCTCTTGGGACTCATGTTGCAGGGGGTGTGCTCTCCTGGCTCCCCTGCATTTGCCCACATGGCTCATGGCACAATGGCCTCACACAATGGCCTGATGGACTGGAACTAGCCTAATGCTGTACTGGACCCTGTTCCACCATGGAATGGAAGCTGTGGACACTGGCTTTGCTTCTAGCTCTGCTGAATCCTCAGCTGCACACCTTCCAGAACTGGATTAAGGGAAATGGGGCTTTGGAAACTATGTAATTCCACAAAAATAACTTCCTAGCACATCTCATTCTCCTGTGGGCCTCTGGGAATGCTTATTCTAGTGGTACCCCAGAAACCCCACTCTCACTAGCAGTGCAAACAGCATTTCTCTGATAACAGCTAAACTATGTATATCTATTTTTAAATTGTAAAAATGTACTGTATTAATATGAATACATATTATACAACATAGACAAAAACATTTAAAGTAATGAAATAAAAAGAAAACATTTTAAGAGTAAGTTTTGTCAAAATTACAAAATAGTTTATTGTTTTGCTCTCAAAATACAGTGATCTGTCATGTTTTGAATGCTTAGTTTTTATTATTTTTCTTTTCTTTTATTTTTTACTAGAGGCCAAGTACATGAAAATTCGTGCATTGGAGGGGGGTGGTCCCTCAGCCCAGCCTGCCCCCTCGCACAGTCCAGGAGCCCTCAGGGGCAGGAGGCAACCCGGCAATCAGGGGAAGGCGACTCCCCATCACACCTCTGCTGCTGCCCCTGCCGGCAGCACAAGCCTGGGCTGGCCCTGGTTACCTGAGCCTCGGGAGCCCTAGGCGGCTGGGCAGCTGGCATCTGAGGCTTGCCTGTGCCTTGGGCTAGTTCCGGCCTTGCCGCACGCCTGCCACCCCAGCGGGGCTGAAGGGACTGGGCGCTGCCATCTTGTGGCTGTGGGTGCCGCCATCTTTGAGGGCATGGCAGTCAATTAGCATAGTCCCTCCGTATTGGCTGTGGGTGCCGCCATCTTTGAGGGTGGGTAAGTCAATTAGCATTTTCCCTCCTTACTGGCCATGGGCACTGCCATCTTTGCGATGGCATGAGGGCCAATTAGCATATTCCCTCTTTATTAGATAGAATTGATTTCAGATAGGAAGGGAGAAGGAAAGAGAGATAGAAACATCAATGATGAGAGAGAATCTTGATTAGCTGCCTCCTGCACACCCCCCCTGCACCCCCCCCCTCATGGATCGAGCTCGAAAATCATCCATGTGCCCTTACTAGGAATCCAACCATGACCTCCTGGTTCATAGGTCAACGCTCAACCACTGAGCCACTGCTGCAGAGCAACAACATATTATTTTGAAAGTTTGTTTTCACTACTTCAAATAATGGGGGAGAGGGGAGAGTTAATATTAAAATGTTTGCAAAGTGCAGGATTAAACAAATTCCTAAAGGTTCCCAACATTAATACAGTCAAACTTCATTTCTCAACCATCTCCCATTTCAATCAATTTGGTTCTCAACAAAGTATTCACAGGAAAAAAATGCCTCCATTGTCAATCCAAACTTCGGTTTTTGAACTGACAACCCTTTCCAGCTGACACCTCAGCAAGACAAAAAGCGTTGCTCAGGCAACAAAGGAGAGAATGCTTTCTGTTGCTGGCAAAATCAACGATTAGCACAATTTTAAAACATAAAATGGCCAACAAGAGTGCTAACATTGCTAAGGGTGTGAAAGAAAACAATGATCACAGACAATTGACAATGTAAAAAAACTGTTGTTGATTTGGATAAATGAAAAGCAGTTAGCCAGTGACAGCCATTTTGGAGGTAGTAATATAAGAACAAGCAAAGATGCTGCATGCTGACCTAAAAGACATCCCCAGACCGAATGATTAGCTTAAGGCTAGTAAGGGGTAGTGCAAATACTTAAGAAAAGAAGTATTTATTTATAGATTTAACAGTACCTTTGACATGTACTGTACATAAGGAAGGTTAAAACAAGGAATCATTAGGAGTTCTGGAATAGATTAATTCCATTTACATTATTTCTAACTAGAGGCCCGGTGCACGAAATTCATGCGGGGGGTGGGGGGGAGGGGATGTGTGTGTGTGTGTCCCTCAGAAAGGTTATATCTCTTTATAGCTTATGGAAAGTGAGGTCTTTCTTGTCCTCACTGTGATAAACATATACAGGAGTGGAAACTGTATATAGAAGTTTGGCCCATAAATGGAAAAAAAAGCATAGTTAGGGGCTACAGGAGTAGCATATTAATGAAGAAAGGCAAAGACAATTAAGACCTATAATATTTTACACTTCTGTATTTCCACTTGGCTTCAGAATATTGCATGTATTTCTATCTAAAAGTAGACAAGATGAAAATAGAAGAGGGTAAAAAATTAGACTTTTATCTCAACAGGAAATAGAAAAATACATCTCTTGGATAATTTGACAATTTTGTCTCCACTTATCTTGCCTGTCCTTGTTGGATATAACTGAATTTTGACTTGCTTTATTTATTTATTTAAAATATATTTTATTGATTTTTTACAGAGAGGAAGGGAGAGGGATAGAGTTAGAAACATTGATGAGAGAGAAACATCTATCAGCTGCCTTCTGCACACCCCCTACTGGGGATGTGCCCGCAACCAAGGTACATGCCCTTGACCGGAATTGAACCTGGAACCTTTCAGTCCGCAGGCCAACGCTCTATCTACTGAGCCAAACTGGTTAGGGCGACTTGCTTTATTTAATCTACACAGTGTAGCAATTTAAAAAATTTCAATGTCTTTAGAAGGGGCATGTGCACTCCAGTTCATCACAGTCCCCAGGATTTTTACCTTCTTACATTTCAGCATTCTGTTCACTGAGAATGCCGGCCTGGCATTTGCCACCTCATATAAAATAACTGTGAGAAATTCAACTATCATAAAGTAGTGGTTCAAAAATGAAAAAACTAAATAAATACAAAAGAAAAAATAAAGTAGTGGTTCAGCCCAGTCTTAAAGAGTTTATTTCTTCTTAAACTCAGTATTAAGAAGTTATTAACAAAGCACAACATAAGATATCAACTGTTCATTGCTACTTGACTTAACTTAGGCTTCATTTTATTTTCAGAAAATCATCACATTTTTCCTTACATTACAGGTACTTCAAGACTCAAAACCCTTAGCTCTGGTAGCATTGCTAATGACCTGCAGCAACATAGCACACTGGTTAATTAAGAGTAAACTCCTACACCAGGCTGCCTGGGTTCAATACTGGACCGATTAATTATCAGCTGTGTGACCTCAAGTAAGCTAACCTGGGTGTCTCTCAGTTACTTTATCTGTAAAATGAGGATAATACCCGTAGTTACTTCATAGGGTAGGTATGATGGTTAAATGTGTCACTATTTATGAGACACTCAGAACAGTGCCTGGCACAAAGTAGATTTATATATACAATAAATGTGTGTATTGTACATTGTAGAATACAATATATATAGTATACATCAGGGGTCCTCAAACTTTTTAAACAGAGGGCCAGTTCACTGTCCCTTAGACCGTTGGAGGGCCGGACTATAGTTTAAAAAAAAACTATGAACAAATTCCTATGCACACTGCACATATCTTATTTTGAAGTAAAAAAAGAAAATAGGAACAAATACAATATTTGTATTTGCATGTGGCCCGCGGGCTGTAGTCTGAGGATCCCTGGATATGCTTCAATAAAAAAAGGTTTAAAACATAAGGGCAGCCCTGACCAGTATTGCTCTGTGGTTAGAGCCTTGGCCCTTGCACTGAAGGGTTGCGGGTTTGATCCTCACCCCCAGTTGGGACGCATGCAGGAGCAACCAGTTGATGAGTCTCTCACACTGCTGTTTCTCTCTCTCCCTCTCCCTCTCTCCCCTCTCTTCCACTCTCTCTGAAAACCAATAGGAAAAATATCCTCAGGTGAGGATTAACAACAACAAAAAAACCCACAAAAAACCAAAACGAACATAAGGGCAGTCCTCACTTTGCATGGTAGTGTGAGACTGTAAATGACTGCAAGCTGAAACTATGCAAAGTAATTTTAATAATCAATGGGGAAAATTACCATTGTTTCATGACCTTTAAATTTTTTTGTCAAACATTAAAAACTCTGTTACAAAGGTATAAAATATGAAAAAAGCAAAACTATTATTTATTAGGGATACCATAATTTATCCCTTACTAAGGCTGAATAACTCAAGCACTTGATAGCATGGTCTATGATACAGAAAAGGTATAATGAAGAAAGACAGACTTACATTGTATTGATGATTGGCAACAGGTTTGTAATTGGTTGTCACAACTTTGTCCAGTTGTTGGGATAGCCGTACGGGTTTAGAAGATTCTTCTATTTGCAGTCTGAAAAATAAAAGGCACTATTAACAAATCCCTTGTTTATTATTATTAGAGTGAAACCTGAAGAGTTAGTCCTATAATTCTTCTTCCTCAAGAACTAATACTTAATATATACAAGTAACCTCATAAGAGATACCAACCTTAATATAATACTTCAAAAACACAGTGAATATACGACTATATTGTAGGAAGTAGACCATAAGCTAAACATACAATCTCATTGTGATTCTACAACTTTCTTCTAACCATATACTGATAGTCAAACTTTTATTAAAACAAATGATTTCTGGAACAAATCTGCATGTAAAAATGAATTACTGTATCTTAAATCATTTGGCCTAAAACTAATTGTTATTAATTCAGAAATTCTATCCACTTAATAAGAGATAGAGTAAATGAAAAGATAATACCCTACCACTCAGGGTCTAGTGCAGTGATGGCGAACCTTTTGAGCTCGGCGTGTCAGCATTTTGAAAAACACTAACTTAACTCTAGCGCCGTGTCACATATAGAAATTTTTTGATATTTGCAACCATAGTAAGACAAAGATTTATATTTTTGATATTTGTTTTATATATTTAAATGCCATTTAACAAAGAAAAATCAACCAAAAAAATGAGTTTGCGTGTCACCTCTGACACGCGTGTCATAGGTTTGCCATCACTGGTCTACTGGCTGCTTTATTGGACAATACAGACATAGAATATCTCCATTATCAAAGTAACTACTATTGGACAGCACTAGTCTATTTTAGGACTCCCTCTAAATCAGTGGTTCTCAAACTGCCTAATGCCTCGACCCTTTAATACAGTTCTTCATGTTGTGGTGACCCCCAACCATAAAATTATTTTCGTTGCTACTTCATAACTGTAATTTTGCTACTGTTATGAATCGTAATGTAAATATCTGATATGCAGGATGTACTTTCATTGTTACAAATTGAACATAATTAAAGCATAGTGATGAATCACAAAAACAATATGTAGTTATATATGTGTTTTCCGATGGTCTTAGGCGACCCCTGTGAAAGGGTCATTCGACCCCCAATGGGGTTGCGACTCACAGGTTGAGAACCACTGCTCTAAATTAAAACATAACTCAAAATACCACCTTTTAAAAAAATCCTCACCTGCGGATAATTTTTCCATTGATTTTTTTTTAAGCGAAATTGATTTTTAGCGAGTGGAAGGGAGGAGGAGAGAGAGAAACATCAATATGAGAGAGACATTGATTGGTCGCCTCCTACACACATCCTTTGGTGTGTGGGTCGAGGCTATTACCACTGAATTACACCAGCCTCAGCTCAAAATACCACTTAAAAAAAAAAAGAGCCAAAAATAAACATGACACTATGTACAGCATATTATAAAACATAATACTTGACCATCATATTTATATATTCAAGTAGCAATCTTAGGTAATTTTGTTTTGGACTAAATGTTATCATATTTCATGATTCACATTTTACCATTTACTCCTTACTTTTAAAATTACATGAATTCATTTTTTCTATCAGCACAGTAAATCTAAAAAATGTTTTAAGGGGGAAAAAGTAGTTTTTTATAGTGACTATTTTTAAACAAAATGTATCATTGGACCTTTATTTATTTTGTTAAAATATATTTTATTGATTTTTTACAGAGAGGAAGGGAGAAGGATAGAGAGTTAGAAACATCCATGAGAGAGAAACATCAATCAACTGCTTCCTGCACACACCCAACTGGGGATGTGCCCGCAACCAAGGTACATGCCCTTGACTGGAATTGAACCTGGGACCCTTCAGTCCACAGGCCGACACTCTATCCACTGAGCCAGACTGGTTAGGGCTATCATTGTACTTTTATACTTCTCATCAGTAAGATCAGAATATAAGAATATATTTAAAGCACTACAAGGAAAAAAAATGCCAACCATATCTAGCTAAATTATAATTGAAGAGTAAGAGTGAAATAAAAGCATTTTTGAACAAAAATAAGTCTATCATTGATAGATCCTCACTGAGAGAACTACTCAAGGACTTTTTTTCAGTAAGAAGGAAAATTAACCCAAAAGAAACTAATGGTATGCAATGGTCATAGCAAAGAAATTGAGAACCATGATAGAAAGTTGCCCACTCAATAAACAAAAAAGGTGGTTTGTTTTTTTTTAGTTTTGTTTTTTTTTTTAAAAGTGCAACTAACATGAAAGGTGGGAAGGAAGAGATCAGAATTAATGCATTTCTGTCTCTTTCTTTTGTCTTGTTAATCCTCACCCAAGGATATTTTTTCCATTGATTTTTTTAGAAAGAGTAGAAGGGAGAGAGATCGATGTGAAAGAGGCTCATCCATTGGTTGCCTCTGTCTTACTGGGGCTGGGGATCAAACTCCGCAAGCCAGGCACATGCCCTTGACAGGGAATCAAACCCACAATCCTTTGGTCTACAGGCCAACTTTCTAACCACTGAGTAAACCCGGCCAGGGCAGAATTAATTCATTTTAAGATTTCTATGTTCTCTAAATTTTCTGCAATAAGCACCTATTACATTTATAATCAGAAAGGAAGTATATTTTCTTAAAGAAAAAAAATCATTTCTTGAAAGGTTAATTTAAAAGCATAAAAACATTGGTTATTTAAAAGCAATGCATGTTCAAGGATCCGAGATGACAGTGGAGAGGAAATTCAGACACTAACACGTACAGAGGAGAGACCATGTGAAGACACAGAGAGAAGATGACTGTCCACAGACAAGGAGAGGGGCCTAGAACAGACTCCTTCCTCATGGCCCTCAGAAGGAACCAATCCTGTAGACATTCCAGTCTTGGATCCAGGACTGTGTGAAAATAAATTCCTGTTGCTAAGCCTAAATAAATGAAAGCAACACATTTAACATCATATATCACTTAAGAGTGCGACCTCAGCCCTAACTGGTTTGGCTCAGTGGATAGAGCGTCGGCCTGCAGACTGAAGGGTCCCAGGTTCGATTCCGGTCAAGGGCATGTACCTTGGTTGTGGGCACATCCCCAGTAGGGGGTGTGCTGGAGGCAGCTGATTGATGTTTCTCTCTCATCGATGTTTCTAACTCTCTATCCCTCTTCCTTCCTTTCTGTAAAAATCAATAAAATATATTTAAAAAAAAAGAGTGGGACTTTAAATTCTTTGGCTCATTAGAATAGGAACTAAAAATAATTTTCATTTAAAATTCCTAGAAAAGCACAACTTGCCGTTCTTACAATATTTATTATTTAATTCCCTGGATGAAGTTTATTATCTATTTGCTTCTGCCTGCTCTTAGGCATATCAAATTATTCAGAAGATATTATATATCTACTAATTGCTTTTTTAATTTGAAAACTATAACTACTATAAGTTTTGTTTTTACAACAAACCCAAATTCATTATAGTAGTTTCTGCATTGAAAAAAAATTTTTTTATTCTTCTGTTTATAAATCCTTCCCTAATCTTTAAATACATAAAATGATTGTTTTTATAAAGTGTAAGAAAAGTACTCTGGAAATGTCTATAGGAACTTACTGTTTATATAACTATAAATCAAATGTTACTTTGCTTTTCATGTGACAAATACATCTTCTATGAACTTTGAAGAAAGCACTAGCTAGGTCTAGAAGGGAGATGTCCACCCAAAAATGGACTTTGACTTACAATCCTTCAGTGGCCTACTAGCTGTTCTTAGATGAAACACAAGCTTCTTCAACATGACTTCACATCCCTCTGGGTTCTAGTCCTTGCTTATCTCGCACATCTGCATCAGGCTACAGTTGTGCCATGACCAGATTTGAGAAGGAGCCTCCTCCTGGAAATCATGCAACGCGTGTTTCCTGGGTGCCTATCTCTGCCAGGGGCTAGGTTAGAGGTTGGGAATGCTGCAGTGAGGAAAAGACTTGTTCTAGAGAAAGACTAACATTAAACACATGCTTATCCACAACTAATTTACTGCAGTTCTAAAGAGAGATAGGGCAGTGGTATTACAACAAATGATTGCATGTTGGCATGACATAAAAATTAACTTCAAGCTGTGCACTTGATGGTAAGCTGGAGCAGGACTGCTCATGCTTACAAGAGGTCGGTCAGGCAAGAAGACTGGGTGAAAATAACTTCTCCAAGCAGATAGGATGTCTCAAAGTGACTATGAGATAAAATCTTTAGAGGTAAAAAAGTGGAAACAAATCGGAATGTTTACTAAGTGTTAGAACTAAGCCTGCGTAAATCCTTAAGAAAATATCTATTAAAAAAATATATAGCTAAGTGGCAAGCCTTTTCCTGAATACTTTTTTGTGTTCTAACCTTGGTCCTGTCCCCTAATGCACTGTTCTCAGGAGTATGGCCTTTCTAAATGGTAATCTGTTATGCTGCCACTAAATCATCTTCCCTGTTTCAATTGTCTCATTTCACAATTTAATCTTGAGATATTTAAAAAGGAAAGCATTTACTAGCTCCCTCCGTCCACATTAAATGATTGTTCCCATTACTTCACAATTTGAAAATTCCTTAGGGTTTCAGTTTGTTTAGGTGTCTTTATAAATGGTAGCTTATTCTTGTCATATTCTTATACTTGAATTTATCTGAAGAACTTATTTGCAGCCACTGCATCCTGATTTCAGTTCATGTGGAATACTTTCAATTCTAATGTAACCGTTCTATAAGCGAATGCCATCATCCCAAACAGTGTCATGCCACTTTATCCTCAAAGTGTTTATTAATATTTTAAATATATAAAGAAATACACTTAACTAACATTTTAAAAATAAAAAGCTCATGTAAAATTTTAACCTTTTTATTATGCATTTAAAATTTGTTTAATTAAAAGAGGATCTGGAGAACCAAGATGGCGGCATAGGTTAAAGCCGGAGTTTGCTGCCTCGAACAACCGCTTCAAAATTGAAACTAAAAGACAGAACGGACATCACCCAGACCCACAGGAACGCTGGCTGAGTGGAAGTCCTACAACTAGGAGGAAAGAGA